ACTCATTTTCATTTTTATTGCTTTAAACGCATTTTCAGCCCGAGCATTTTTAAACATGATTACCCGTTAGACGCTACTACAAACAAAGACAAACGCATTGTACAACTTCACCCTGCAACAAAGCATGGCCGACAGTCAGCAAGAAGTGAAGCCACCGGCGGCCATCTTGCCTTGCCACTCGCTAAGCGGGCCGAACTCAAATACGGGAACTGACAACTCAGGCTTTCTTTTCCATTTCTGGACAGCAGCACTTCGTTCAAGTCACGATTGAGTCTGTGCCCTGTAAACCGATTCGAGTCGAGCATCTCAAAAAGCCGTGCAAGTCTGCGCCTTGCTTGCATGGTAAAACTGCAAATGGCTCGTTCAGACGCTTTGATCACTTGGATAACTGGAGCAATTTGAAAGCTAAGATGTCATTTACGGTAGCTTGACATCATTCCAGCAGTATATTTGGGAGAGTTTGAGACTGTCATTAGGATCGCGTCAGCCGAGCAAACGAAAGTTAGCATGCCGTCATAGCCTAAATGCGTAAATGGCGCCTGCATAGAGTCCATTGTGAGTCAAGCCTCTCAGTGTCCAAAGTTACAATTTGATGTCAGCAGCCATTTTATTATTATTATTATTATCATCATCATTATTTTTATTATTAAGGCTAACACGTTTGAGCGCTGAAGTTGAACATGTGGTGCTTTTTTTCAAAACAGAGCAGATGAGGGTCGCCATGGCAACACAGCTACCCGTCATGCCGATACTGCGAGTCTGAAGTTAAGCCCTGCTCAGCCGAACTTTGCAGATCGCAGCGCCTCTTGAACTCCTGACCTCTCTCGTGCAGCCACGTGTTGGCCACTGACCAAACAGACAAGGGGTCCATTTTTCAATTCCAGAGAAAGTCCGGCTTGAATTGTTCGCATGTGAGTTGTTTTTTCCGGTGTGGCAGCAATATGCTTACGTAGCTGACATTACATTCCGTTTAAACTTACCCCATTTGCTCCCCACCAGGACGGGACAGGCAGCGTGTTGGGTTTGATGGTCTCCCTCTCCGTCGGGGTGAAGATTGTACCAGAAGATGGCCGAGCCCTGCAAAAAAGTTGCATTCAAACAGATAGAAATGCTTGACACCAGCAGCCACTTGTTTTGGCACACCCTGAAGTGACGAACGAATTGTTTTCAATGAAAGAGGTTGACAGTGCCAGTGGCAATGCAAGATGGCTGCCCTCAGGCTTCAGCCATGAAAGGCCAATCAATAGTCTGTGGCCACATGTTGGGTCCCGTTTGGAAAAAGATGAAGAGCAAACCTTGACGGGCTTGGCGAAAGCGCCCGCTCTGGGGAAGACGGTGGCGCCCCCTGCCTCCACGTGGCTTAACTGCAAGCACAGGGAAAGCCATTAAAAGCCGAGTGGAGCTCCTCCTCGATGAAAAGTGAAGTGTGCTTTACTGACATAAAGAAGCCAGGTGGCAATTCGGTTTCCTGTTCCCAAATATTCGTACGGGTTCTTAACCTCTTTCTGTGGAAACACGACACGACGTTCAGACAAAAGTGTATTATGGATTATGTTGAAAACGGTGCTTATATTTACCCCTTGAAAGTCGATATGTGGTTCATAAAGTCCTCCCACGCCATAGTTGGCAACCTGCACAAACAAACATAAAAGTGAATACTCAGTTGAGTGTATTTTATTTCATTGTTTGTTTTTTTTTACGTTGAAGGTGAGAAGATCTGTGTAGGAACTCGACCTGCATCCACTCTGCGGTGGACATTTCCAGGCCGGTGATGTAGCCCACTCGGTTGATCAGCTTCTTCACCACCTTGTACCCGTTGTTCTCCAGCCAGCAGCTGAGGAGGGAAAAGGTTGCGCTACGACTCGAGTCGAGGAAACGGAAAGTAAACGTAGCATGTTGCATCGCACAACCGCGCATCAGCGCTTGTGCCCACTCGGTCGTCCTTACTTTTGGGAGATTCTGACTCGAGATTTAACATTTGTGTGGTCCGTGTTGTTTCTCACTTTGGAGCGGGTGAGCTAGCGCAGCCGACGAGAGACAGAATGTGAGAGAGACACTGTAAGTTAACACGTTCACGCGAACATGCTGCAACTGTCTTTCGGACAGAAAAGCAGAGCGGACTGACTTTGGGTTTGGCCAACTTTTTGATGACTTCCGCGTCCTTGTGGGACGCCACGTCGTAATAGCGGACGACGCGGGGAGCGTCGCAGAGGTCTTCCTCTTTGAAGGGAGCAATCAGGAGGTTGGGATGGCCGTGGTTGTCGTGGTAACGGCAGAAGAGGCGGCTCCGTCTCCGTGGCGTCTGTCAGAAAGATGATGATGATGAGCCCGGAGGGAAAAAGCTTTTCCACGCGGTGACTTCACGGCGTCTTCCTCACCAAGGCGACGCTTTCGCCGCGACACAGCTGCTTGTACACCGTCGCATTGTAGGCAGTTAGATACTTGTTGGGTATCACCGGAATGATCTCGACCCTGTCCGGTTTCGCCAGCTCGTACTCAAAGTAGGCCAGATTACTTTTGCCTCGCTGGTTTTCTGGATCTGAAATAAACCACCCAAAAAACACAAGAGTGAGACTTTGACAGGAGCCTCGAGCGGACGCACCGACGTACGCAGGAATAGTTGGAGGTGAGCAGACGTTCCTTTGGTTCCACTCACCAATCGCCAGCAGCTGCTTGGTGGACACCAAGGCGGCTTCCAGATCTCCTTGCCTGTAGAGGGCGTAGCTGTGGTAGTCCAGGATGGTGATGGGGTCCACGCTTGAGAGCGTCTCGCCCTGCTGCATTTGCTGGAGAGCCTGAGCCATCCACATCTCCACGTAGTAAAAATCTTCCTCCTGGTACGCCGCCATGCCCAGGTCGAAGCAGTCGTCCACCGTCAGGCTGCTCAGGAGCAGAGAGGTTCCTGTTTTGGGGGGCGAGGATTGGATTTAGGACTTCTGGAGTTTGGGTCGATATGTGCCATCACGATCCTACTGCAAATGCCTACGTGCAGACATGCAAATGTCAAGTTAACTCCCATATATTCATGAAGCATAAGTGGAATGGAGACTTGTACTTCCGTGACACCAATTATTGCTTTTCTATTTGCCAGGGCTTGGGAATTGTCTTAAATGTTCGGGAGCCATCCGACATGGTGGGCCCGCTCACCTGGCAGCTTCCCTTTGGCCATGGTGTCGCTGTCCAGCTGATAGGTGTCCTGCAGCCTCAGGAGGGCTTCGGCCCCGCCCGTCTGGTCACCCTCGTTGGGGAGGTCCTCACTCCTGGAGGTCAGGTTGGACACGAAGCCTGAAACAAAAGAGCCGCAGCGTCCAAACCGACTCGTACTTTTTGAAGCGAGCGGTCAGGCTTCAGGACGTTTGTGTGTTTTCACCATCGGATACGTTGCTGCGCACCAGCATCTCCAGGGCGCGCCACTCTCGGTTCATCCTCTTCAGAAGTTTAAAGGCGTTCACGGGGTGGCTCAGGAAGGTTTCGGGGTCTTGGATGGCAAACGCCGACATGTTGGCCAGCCTCTCAGACCACCTGAGTACACGCGCACACGCACACACGTAATTATCTGGTCAGTGTGACCTCCACCAGATGCGAACGTATTGATGCGAAAGGTGGTTTTGGACCTTTTGACCGAATCCAGTTTGTTCTGCTCCGCTTGGATGTAATCGTCCAACGAGGCCAACAGCTCCTTCTCCGTGTACACCAGCTGCGTCATGTGACCTGATGGCACACATACACACACGCACATCACGACACACTTACCGCACTTGGGGAAAAAAAGGTAATTGTCTTCGTTGACAATATTCTGTCATCTTCACCCCCTGTGAAATCGTTTTTCAGCCAAGTGCCACGTAACCAGCACAAAGCTTGTGCTGGTTACGTCTGTCCCACTAGCATCATCCATCAAATGATCCGTAAGCGCTGCCCACCCCGAACCCTGTCACGAATACCCCATAATCCAAGAATAATTGTCGCCTCCCCCAAAAGAGTTTTGTAATTGCATTTAGGTACAGCGAGACACAAAACAAAGAGGATCATAAAGCATCAACACCCTGCATCTATCGCGTACACAATCATGGATCCACGGTGCATAAACGACCGTATTCAGTGGTACAATGATTCAACAAACACACACAAAAAAACAAACACAAAAAAACATCTTCACATGAGGCCCATTGATGGTGTTAGCATACTAGCCTAAATAACACGCTAGTGCTGCTTTGAAATCGCACGTGAGGTAACAAATATGCACACCAGCATGTTACACAAACATGCTTCGGTACAGTAAAAGGCAAACGGTACATTCATAACAACAACAATATGGATAATAATGGAGCAAACTCACCGATGGACGTGTAGAATTCCTCGGCGGCCGACGAGAAACTGAGGAGGATCAACAACAGGTAACCGACTGCCATGTCTGAACGGACCGTCAATGAGAACATGATCAATAATAATTACAGTACTTGTTTTTTTTTTTTTCTTTCGGACTGTTTGAAAGAAAAAAAATGTCGGACTACTGAAGGAGCTGGAGCTTTACTTGGGATTAATTACATAAGTTTGATGGCGATTGCTTTATATTGAATAGCTGTAGCCACATCCCCACTAATAGGAGGGTGTGACCAGTTTCTCGTTTTATTTATGAATTTTTTTTTTTTATTATTGCAGCTCCCCTCCTCCGCCTCGAACGTCGACTGTTCCAGAACTGTTGGGGAATAAACCCGCAAATGTCACGGGGCGTGAATAATGCTGTCTATGGCTTTTTTTTTTTTTTTTTGTCGTCTTCCAAAGGAATTCCACCTGACCCGCTTTCTCCGCCATTGAAAGAATGTGGCAAGACAAGTGACATGCCACCTCAAAGCATCCAACCGACGCTGCCAACAGGAAGATTCCTAAATAAAATTACCGTCTGTGAAAAACGAACCTGACGAATGACAAACTGCACGTAGCTACAAATGCGATCAAAATACCTTTTTTTTGGGTGGAGGGGGGGACAGAATTCAGCAAATGACAGTCTCAGCTTTTCATCAGGTCACGGAATGCAAACAAACCGAAAAGTTTGGTGAGCGACTTCAATGTCTGTGGTGATAAGTTCTCTCTATTTGCGATCTGCTTTGTTGTGTCCTCACGGTGACGTTGTGAGACGCCTCAAACGACGCATCAAAAGGACAGCTGGACAAAAGGCCAATGTGGGACATTCCGACGAGCCCTTCAATGCAACAGTGCGGCGCTTTTTTGCCAAGTCAAAACACATTCCATTCGAATTATGACGCGGTGGGGGGATCGCCGCGACGTTGACGTCCTCATCCCTGTCATGTCTGTCCAAGCGTGCGGATGCGGTTATTCGTTGTTTACCTTCTTTATTGCTGACTTCAAGTCCCTTTTCCATGGGAGTTAATCGTCAAGTCTCGCTGCCTTTGTTGCACTCTTTGGTTTACCGTTTTATGCTCGATTATCTCTTTTGTCTGCAGAAGGTTCGGGGACCGGTTCGGCTGGAGTTACCTGTTGCACATTCACATGCAGAAGTGAAGATCGTTTGGGAGCTTTTGCTCACATCGGCTCCATCAAAAGGTTGAACTTTTGGACTCGCATCCGACGCGACCGCAGCACGTAGCTCGGGACCAAAGGAACACACCACACCTACACTTAAAGTGCGACGTGGACGGCATCGTCTTCTTCAGCCGAACGCTAAAAGGGATTTAATGAGCAACATCACGCTGATGAAAGTTAATTGAGTTCATGCGCAGGTGCGATGCTCCGGGCCTCGAGGTCCGTCGTCATGCGGGTTTTGAGATGTTTGCCTCCTCCGGCACACCTGCTTCAAATGATCAGATCATCGGCCAGCTCTGCAGACGGACCTCAAGTTTGAGATTTGGTGTTTCATGAAAATCAAAATCCGCTTGGTGAAAATCAGATTTTTTTTGGGGCATGAAATGAACCATTATAAAAACGATATATTTCTTTATATTGTTTGTTGGGTTTCTTTTTTTTTTGTTTTTTTTTGGGGGGGCGGGGGGTGTTGATTTGAGCTCGAACACGGCCAATTTGACCCACAACATAAACCTGGAATTTGATGATAAAACTCAGCAGCTTCAAGTGATCACAATTTATTGATGTGAGTCTTTAAAAGTTTTCACGAAATGACGAGTTGGCAGTGAGGTGAATTCCAATGTTTGAAAAAAAGTTCCTCTTCTTGTTTCACTCCATGATGTCATCACTTCCAATGATCTCTAAAATCCAGTTTCAGTCTGCGGTCCAACTTCACGTCAAAAGTCTCGCCGTGAGTCCGTTTTTGCGCTTAGTTGTAGCTGTATCCCGGTAGCGGCAGATTGTGTCCCTCCTTGGCTTCGAAAAAGGTGTAGGAGAGCGTGATGGTGTCCACGCGAGCCATCCTGGGGTCGGAGTCAAACTCGGGGTCGATGTAGAAGAAGACGGGCATGTCCACCTCCTCGTGAGGGTTCAGACGCTGCTCCTCGAAGCAGAAGCACTGAACCGAACACACCGGGAGAGGAGACGCACCATGAGGCACGGGAGCTTCTTGGGACCGTTCACTCCGCGACCTCGAGCGGGGGGAAAGTATGGCACGGAAGCGGGCCACATACAGGTGCCACTCTTGCATTTTTAATGGGCCCAGAGAGTCAGGAAATACGTCTTGCATTAATTTAGCCGATAGAGCAAAGCTAAAATATTAGCAATAAATTGCAAATAAACAACTACAATATTAAGCTAAATATAGTAAATACAAAACCAAAATGCGCATATGAAGTTCATGTAAATTATTTCATTTAATAAGTGGTAATTAAATCACTATAAATAACAGATTGAAAACATTTGAATGGTTTTACTGTTAAATTATTTTACATTTTTTTTCTGTTTCACTTTTTCTGGAAAAGTATTTACTCCTGAATGTATGCCTGATTTATTCTGAAGAATAAATTAGCCGATAAAATATCAGTGGAATATATATATATTTTTTTAAATTATCGTTAATAAAATAAAAAGATAGTGACCATTTTAGAACTCAAACACAGTTCCCTGAGCACAAAAGTAATCCTACCTGGATCTTGTTGAAGTACTGCCCCGCGTCGAAGGGGACCACGTTGTAAGTGGAGATGCCAATGATGGGCTTGTCTGTCGGGTTCTTTGCCCTGTAGAAGGCCAGTGCCGTCTCCCCCGGGACCACCTGCACCAAAAGCCGTCACCGTTTGGCAAAAGCATCGACGACGATGTCAAAACGTGCAACTTACGAAGATCTCCGTCTGCTGAGGTCTGAAGTTCCACTGCATGCTGGCGTGCGTGTCCGCGTTGAAGGTGACTTTGATGACACGCTCCTTCACGGGCTCCATGTTGGCTACCAGGTCCGAGTCATGGCCGGCCACTGCCGTCCCGCCGAGTCCCGTTGCCTGACGGGGGAAGCAAAGCCCACGTCACAAACACGACCACGGTGTGACTTCCACGTCGCCGCCAAGTTTTAAGTTATTGTCTTTTTTTTTTTTTTTGGGTTCAGTCCTCGAACTTCTCTGGCTCACCACGTACGGCCCTTACTCAAACTCTCACACACACGCTCACCTGGCAGTAGAGCCTGTAAAGCGGCACGGCGGCGTATGATAGGCCAACCATGGCTACGCCGGCGGCCACCACGTAGGTCAGCACCGTCTTGTTGCGAGTCTTCTGCTGCTCCTCGAAGCTTGGACGCTTTCTGCTCTTGACCCCTCGGCTCTGGACGTGGGGGCACAGGGGCGTCCTCCGCCACAGGAAGTGCAGCGGCCTCCTGGCATCGCAGTGAAGAGCCCTCAAGCATCTGGGAGGCAGGGGGGCCGAGGCCCAGAGGCCGCGTAGCGAGTGGCAGAGGAGAGGTGACAGCAGCATGGCAGGAAGTGGATCACCTGCATGGTGGACAACAGGTCATCAGTGACTACTTATTATCCATCCATCCATTATTTGAGCCGCTTATCCCTTCATCTCATTAAATGGACTCTTACATTAGTCTACGTAACATTGCACAGCTCCATATTGGGCACCTTTACCCCAACAATGGACTGGTCGCGACTTCACGTATTGTAAACATACAACCACTAGCACGCTGTGCTTGAATAAATCAATTCTGATTATCAATGCAGTTTTAAGTCACTTGTATGTCATGTTATGATCAGAATTTAATGAAAAATCTAAATCTCCACTTAAAACAACGAATATTCCAAAGTGTGAAAATAAGGACGTCTGACCTGCAAGTGTCCACAGTCCAGCACGTACGAATGGTCGGCACGAAAAAAATTTAAGTAAATTAAATAACAGAATAAATACGCTGAATTTTATAACAATCTCCTGACCATTTTTGATTGACTTATAGCTGTCATTCACCGGGAGAATCGAACGAACGAGCGGACATGTTTGAGGGTGACACATTACACAAGGAACCGGCGTGCTACATTTAAAATCTTCCGTCTCCGGAAGCAAACACGAAACAAACGTTCTGCTTTGGATAAACAAAAACGAGTGGCAACAAAGTTGGTTATTACACTGGGTTCGATTTTAGATCATTTAAACGTGAAAATAAGCACTATATTTTTCGCTTTTAGGTGCGTAGATTCAGCATTTACAAATACACTTTTTTTAAATTAATCATAAAGAAGGCTGGTGACACCATCGGATTCAAAATGTTGACATGCTTTATAATGTTAATACAACTGTCCATATCAATGCCTCTCAATTTGTATTCATTGTTCACATCTACATTTAATTTGCAAAATCATTGATGCATAATATGCATGTGAACAGTTTTTCATACTCTATACTTAATCTATTACATACGGGGCCTGTCATAATTCATGAATACGTCTTGTGAATATTCACTTTTTAAACTTTGTGCAAATAATTATATAAAAACGGATGGACCATTATCCAATTTATTACTAACCAGAAAGCTTGGATTAGCTTTCAATTGATTTAATTCCACCCAAAATAGTTGTCTGGTAATTGTTTTTCACTTTCTTGGTTGTTCATTAATTAGTAAATATTTGTCAACATTTCTACTGCAGCAATCTAATCCTCATGGGATGGATAGAGAGGGGGGAGACAGAGAGAGAGAGAGAGAGAGAGAGAGAGAGAGAGAGAGAGAGAGAGAGAGAGAGAGAGAGGGAGAGAGAAAGAAAATCAAAATATGTTTTGGTTGTGCTGGTTTCCACTGTTTTAAATTCTAATGGAAATTAGTAAGTACAAATACTCCCACGCCTAAGTATCTACGTTATTGTTTTCCTGTGTTAGTATCTAGATGTTATTACAATTTCATTACAACGTAGTGGTAAAAAAACATACACCGTTTAATGTGTGGGTTTTCGTAAAATAATTTGGAAAACGCACAATTGACAATTTGGCTATGTTTGAAGCGAATTAATTGTTTGTGCGAAGCATCGTAACCCGCCTACGGCGGCCGCGCGCGCCCAAGAAGGCGTGTGCTTCCCGGCCGTCCTGCTGGTGCGAGCAATGGAGGGGGTGACTGTGGGCCAGGTATTTGATGCCGAATGCATCCTCAGCAAGCGGCCGAGAAAGGTGAGCGAGCCCCCGGGCAGCTCGGGAGGGGGGCAACGGCTCTCCCGGAACCCCCTTAAAGCTCGCCTGTGTGCTCTTTTGCAGGGCAAGTTCGAGTATCTTGTCAAGTGGAGAGGGTGGTCGTCCAAGTAAGTCGCTAGCCAGTCTCAGCTAGCCGCAGAGGCTAATCGAGCACGCACGCACGCACACATGCACGTGCGCACGCGCACGCACAGTGAGCTAGCAATGCAGGATAACGGCCAGCTGACAAAATGACAAAAAGAAGAGGTGCAAAACATTGGCATTCTTGCTGCTTTTCTCGGCTCTCGCGGGAATGGTTTACCTTATGCGAGGTGCAGCCTTCTTTTTGTCTCAGCGAGCTAAGCAGACAAAAAAAAAAGACCAAAACAGCGCCGTTTGTCTTCTCTTTTATGTTTGTTTTCATACGAGCTCATTCTAATACAGAAGCTTGCAAAAAAAAAAAGGAGCACAATGTTTCTGTTTGGTGGTTTTATTCTTCACGACATGATTGTTCCTCTTCCGATGCACGAAAACGACAATAAGCAATATTGAACCAATAATAACAAACGTCAGCAATTTTGACGTTGTCATCAGTGTACTGCCTTATTATCTTGTTTTTCTTATTTCTACTCTTTCCTCTGCATTGTGCTGTTTTGTTGTTGTGACAGGCTAGTTACGCACCGGAGCCTCTTTTCAATCGCATTCAACTTTATTGACAGGAGTCACAATAACCAGGCAACAAAATGCAGATTGGATCGAACCCGCAAGCGCATGAAAAATAATATGTGATGTTGTGGTTGTAGGCACAACAGTTGGGAGCCAGAGGAGAATATTTTGGACCCGAGGTTACTCGCAGCCTTTCACAAAAGGTTTGTGACCGCCTGGACTGGAATAATAACAAGACATGCTACTGGAGATGTTCATTCAATTCTGTCACTTTAGGGAACAAGAGCGAGAACTTTTGTACCAGACGAAAGGAAAGAGGCCGAGAGGACGACCGCGCAAGTTTCCGGTAATTTCTGTTCACTTTCAGCTCAAAATTGGGGGAGGGGGGGGGTATAGATTCGAATTTGATTGACCTTTTTCCACAATAGCTGCATGAGTGTGATTTTTGTGGCTGCCCACCTTCAGCTTCCTGTTTCACCCGCCGCAAAAGACAGCCGTTCGTCTTCGTCGTCGTTCTCCGGCGCGTCTTCGTCAGTGGCGTCGTCGTCCGAGGAAGACGACGAGGCCGAGCGCGACCGCAAGAAGGCCAAGGGTGCGGCGGCGGGCCCTCGGCTGCACCCTGCCCCCCAGAGGAGGCCTCAGATTCTCCCCGCCAAAGCCGAGCCTCATCGCAAGAAGCGCGGCCGGAAGCCGCTTCACGCCAACGTGGGCGCTTTGAGGCCGGCCAAAAGCAGGACTCCGCCTTTGCCTTCGGCGCCGAGCCATCACCAGCTGCTGCCGGGCTTCCTGCGCAAGTATGGAAAGTACGGAAGTTACAAATTCGGCCATCCCCCTGTTTATACAGCATGCAAGATACCACTCGTGTTGGCTGCGTGAGCTCAAGTTTGAATGTAAACAAACAAGTGCATTTAAGTGAACGATAGCTTAAAAATGCAAGGCAGGTGAGTTAGCGGAGTTCACTGTAATGGCAGATGTGTTGAAAATAACGACGCAAAGGATAAATTGGTATCTATACAGACCTTCCAAAAGCCTGTGTTGTGCCTTCCCAGGGTGGATCCCCGGCCGGGGATTAAGAAGCCGCTGCAGCCGGCAAGCTTTACCTACACTGGGCTCAGCCGGACCGCCAGAGAGCACCACACCGACGCGCAGAGCGCCGTTTTCTCCCAGGTGTCGGCGGCATCTAAAGGGGGATGCGTTTGGAACCGCCCTGCGCCCGCCTCCTCACCCTCCCTCAGCAAAGCCGGCGGCTCGCCGCAAAGGAAGACATCGCACGGCGAGCTCAAACGCTCCATGTCGGGCCCCGGCGGCAGCGGCGGCCGTGGCGAGGCCCTCAAAGGGATGCCGCCCCCACTGAGACCCGCATTCGGGGGCGGCCCGACGGCGGCGCAGCGCCTCGCGCCGCCTCCGAGGAGGCAGGACAGCCACGGCGGTTACACGGCTCTGGTCCAACACAAGCGAGCGCTCGCCAAGGCGCCTTCGTCATCCTCGCAGCGGCCGAGCAATCAGACGCTCGGCCTGCGAGCGGTCAACCAGCAGAACGTCACCAAGACACCGCTGGCCGGCCATCAGGGCAACAGCGGCGCGCTCGTGCGCTCTGGCGCGGCGGTGCGCTCCAGTTCGCGGAGCGGCAGCCTGGTGGTCATCAGAGACACTTGCGTCACCCCCACCGGGCAGCGTCCGGTCCTGCCTGCAGGGGGCGGCGCGGAGAAGGCCAGGAAGGATGCGACGCTGCCAGCAGGCGGCGGGCGGCAGGTTGAGCGCAAGTCCGGCCGCGGCCTCAATGATCTCAGCACCGGCGACTCGGAGGACAGCAGCAGCGGCGAATGGGAACGGGACGCCACCTCGTATCCTAGCGACGGCCGGCCCAGCCTTGGCGACGCCGCCACCGAGTCGGACACTGAGACGGACTGGCGGCCCACGCGGAACCTTCTGGAACAGGTGTTTGTCACCGACGTCACTGCCAACTTCATCACCGTCACCGTCAAGGAGTCACCCACCAGCGTTGGCTTCTTCAACCCTCGCAACCACTAGCCACTCTCGCGCTGCCCGCCACGGCCAACTCGGTAGCGATGCGGGACGAGGGAAGGGTCAGTCGAGCCTCAAGTTTGTCGGCTTCATCAGAAGCGGAACGCCATCGGTGTGGGGCGGGGCTTAACTGCAAGCAGAGCATGAAGTTTAATACTCGAGACTCATTGAATGAACGCCAGCTTGACTCTACCGTTCCATCTCTGATGCGCCAATTTGCCGGGAGGGCAGCGTGAAACGGGCCAATGAGGGAACGGCGGCCGTGATGCCAAATCTTCCACCGTGGACATTATTTTTCTTGTTGTTGTTGTTTGTTTCCTGTTCAAGGTGACAAAGCAGGAAGTCGTCAGTGCCTCAGGTTCCGGTCCACAACGTTACAAAAACAAAACTCGTGCTCTGTAATTTGGACATTTGACTGTTTTGTGTTTTTGGTGTGTTTGGACCAAAGGTGCTATGAATGTTATTTAATTATTTCCTGAACAGTATTCCACACACATGATTGATCCTTTAATTTATACTGTAAATCTCTTTCTATTCACCTCAATTGTGTGCCTCGTTTTTTTTTTACTTTTCAAAATAAAATAGTCGTTCGATCTTGGGAAGGAGACGAGTTGATGGTGTCCACCTGCTGCTACAGCAGGTGGCGCTATTGAGCTAGGGTTACGAACGAAGATGCCAGACACAAATGCGGGCACAAAGACCCCCACTAAAAAAAATTGACTCATCGGTGCCTATTCTCGATTTTGTTGAGTTATGAAATAAATGACTTAATTACATTTTTAGTGCATGTTGCCGGAAGTAAACGTTAAATAGTTTAATGAATCCAACAATACTTACCCAATTGCCGTATTTCCATTCTTAAATGATCATTTTTCATATTCAAACTATTGGAGCGTATTATAATTAGATCCAAATGAGATGGAAAGAGTTACTGACCTTTGATTCATGGTGCACAGCGTTGCGCCATTTGCTAAATTTTGACCCATGCAACATAAACTGACTGATGGGATTAAAAATCACCAAAATCTGTTAAAAAGTTCAATCGTATTTAATTACAATTGAACGAATTAAAAAGTAAACAAAATCATCCAAAACCAACTTCAATTAGCGTCGAAGGTCAAAATCAGATGATGAAAGTAACCAAGCAAATGAATTTTTCTGCATATGAACAAACCGGGCAACGGTAAATGCATCGCCAACTGACAAAGAGTGCAACCAATTCACGGAGTGACGTTAATTAGGGTTTCAGAACTTCTGGTACGTGTGTCATTTACGCTATATGAGCAAGTGCTGTTGCTGCTGCAGAGGTGGAATTTTCCCCAAATGAATTTGGGCAAACAGGGGCGACAAGGCACCCTCACAGGGTGCAGCGCTGGTATGCGTAAACACACGCGCGGCACTGTGCCTCAGTGTTACCGCACGCACGCAAACACAAACATTATGCGAATTCTCCAATTTTCACAAGTTGGGGAACTCAAACCTCGGTTATTCGCAACAAAAAAAAAATCGCATATTCGCTGCTTTCGAGATGCCACAAGATGGAGCCAAAGCCCCGTCTGATCGGAAAACAAGACTTTGGCGCCACCTTGTGGCACGACGGTGCTAGGTTGCGTAATCAAGCTTTTGAACGCCATTTACTCCGACTGTACATCAAATCAGTTATGCCCATCGAAAGCAAGTGAGATTTAATTTGGCACTATAGGGAACAACACAAAGGTCGATATCCAATGAAGTAGGGACAGAAAGACCAGCACACATACAGGGATAACCCAAATACAGCGTGTGTGTGTTTTGGCGGCAGGTCTGTTTTGACACTTAGCCGTGTTAGCTTAGCAGCAGATTGATGAGAGTCTACTTGTCTCTGCGCCAAAAGGAGACTCCACTGCCTGCCTGCCCGCCCACACACACACACACACACATTCACACACAAACACGTAGACACTAACACCCAGACATTGAGACACAAACATACACGGACAGACACCAGCGCGCAAACACACATATTCAAAATTACACAAATCGAACACAGATAGAGACTCAGAAAAGACGCGCACACACACAGACATACGAACACAAAAATTGCGCTGCCCAGAGGAGGCCCAAAACATTCACAATCAAATTATTGACAGTTTTGTCGCCATTTTGTTTTTGCTTACGATAAGAAACGCTTTGCTGATCGTGACTTGCGTTGCCAGTGGTGAGATGTCAACTTCCTGGTTGACATCTTTGGACTGGGGCGGGCAACCCCAGTGGCTCCTCGCACTCGGGTGACAAAGTGACAGCTTCCCCTGTTAACAAACTAGAGAACGAGCCAGGACACCAATCTGCGTGTGTCCGTGTCGCAAATATTCAACCGAAAGCAAAGTTGGATTTTTTTTCCTCCCCAAAAGTATGCACGCTCAGTGTAGTACCGCATTATGCCGCAGCATGCCGGGCAGCATTGAGCTCTATTTGTTCTTCCAAGACAAGAGATGAAGAAGCTGTGCCCCGTTTGCCAGCCAATTACAGGGCACATGTCGAGGAAGAGCCATCACGTTCACCATCACACCAACATACCTCGTGGGGAAAAAACATTGATGAGCACAGGAAAATTCTCACTTCAGGTTTTACTAAAATGCACGACTGACAACATAAATCCCCAATTCCAAACATTGTCATTAAGAAAATTTAATTGCAGGAAATTATCAAAATACCAAAACAAAAAGGTCCATCTGGTAGTTTTTGAGCCTCTTTTTTTCCATACAATTACACATACATATAGGAATGGGTTTGTATGAAGTACAATGGTGCCTTGGGATACAAGTGACCCAATTCAAGACTTTTTTGAGATACAAATTGTCACTTTTGGCTTTGACTTGCAATCAAAAATTGAAGATATGTGTGCCGTTTGGCAGCAGCAAAGTCATCTCAACTGTGGATTCAGAACTTTGCACTTAATAAACCCATTTAGTTTCATCCTAACACATAATGGAAACACATAGATGGGCTAACAAATATCATAGTTATGGTGCAGCAATACAGGGAAACAGACAACTACAACAATACGGGCATACAGTATATTCTTTATCCTCTCCAGAACATGACTAATATTACTGTGGTTTACTGAGAAACTGTGACTATTTCATGTACATATAATGCTCCCTGGTGGCTGAGGTGCGCATACCGCATTGAAAATGAGTCCTTAATTTGATTATAGTGGCGCATGATTACAAGGTGACAAACTAATGGAGGCATAATTAGAATAATAAACGATGTCAGGTCACTAAATCTTAATCAAGATGTTCAAATCCTGTCAACTCAAAAGTTTTCTTTCTTCATTTTTCGCTGTGCAGGAGCAGGGGCGGGAGGGGGGGGGCAATTTCTTAACGTTCTATTTAATTGTGTCCTTACTGGACGTTATTGTAGGTACAAATTTCGTGCTGTTTTCCTTCATTATGAAAAACGACTTTTGGGGAGGCTGGTCTGTATGGATGGCATTTCATAGCGGAACGTTTTGAGCGTGGTCACGGAACGACTTCAACGCGTGCATTTGCACTTTTCTGTTGGGGAGGCGTGCGTGCGCTGAGATTGTTCTGCTATGCGCCAGGTCGGCAAAGCAAGTCAGTCCTTCGTCCGTCCGTCATTTGGCGCACGAGCATTTGCACTCGGACACGACGGGGTATTGGACCGGGATCCAGGCGCACTTGAGGGCCGCCTTCTTCCGCACGCAGCGCCAGCGGAGCAGCGTCAAGCGCCTGGCTTTGGCGGGGACGCAGCGCATGCCCTCGGGGACGGAGCACGAGCGCTTGCTGAAGCAGCGGCCCGACTTGACGTAGCGCGGCCAGAAGCGGACGCCCAGGTCGCTCCACGCGTGCAGCACCGGGCACGCGGCGTACGCCCACAGCCACATCTGCAGCCGCCGACGGAGCTTCTTGCTCGCCTTGGGCTTCTTGCCCTGCTGCGCCTCCGAGTCCAGGAGGCGGAAGTCCTTGGACATGGGGCCGGTCGGGAGGAGGAGGCGCGCAAGGGGGTCCGAGTCCGCGTCCTCGTCCTCCTCCTCCCGGCCCCGGTGCCTGTCCACGTCCTCGTCCCGCTCCGGCGGGGGGTGCACGGACATGAAGTGCGCGTCAAAGTGTCCGCCCAGGGCGTCTCGCAGCTCCGTCTCGTTCAGGTCATTGTCGCGGGGGTCCAGCGAAGGGTCCGGGTCTTCCTTGAGCTCCACGAGCGGAAGGTGGTCGCTGGGAACCGGCCGTAGCAGGAGGTAGTGCTGGCACGAGGCCCAAGCCAGGATGAGCGTCAAGACCAGCAGGGTGGAAAGGCGGGGATGCGCACGGGGAGCCATCTCCCAAACTTGGACGCGAGTAGTCAACTTATTTGGGCTGCCTCGCCCCACGTCACCTCGCCTCAAGTTGCGTCGCGTCGCGTCACGTCACGGGACGCGGCCCGCGTCCGTGGCACACCGAGGCAGAGCCCGCCAGCCACTCGCGCCGCATGTCTCGGCGAGGTTCGGGGTTCTGAATCGGGATTCCGGTGGACTCCTCCTTCGCCTTCTCCAGCTGGAATGACGGCGCCGCTCCGTGCGTGCGTCCAAATACCGTTCAGCACCACTGGACTGTGCACGCTGCAGGGGTCGTGTACGTCATCAGGATGCTGGACCAACCCAGACGCGCGCGCGTAGACACGTTCGTGACTATTAATACACAAAAACACGCAGTACAAGCACACGCGTAAAAACACACTAAAGGAACACACTCGCGCACAAATATGCAAGCAACACACATGCACAGACGTCCAAACACGCAACAACAAACAAAAACACCCGTCTAAAAGCAGGAAACTATTTTGTGAGCAGAAAAGCTGCTTTTCACTTTTTTTTTTAACCAAACAGCCATTTGTATGGAATTCATTAAAAAAAAAGGAATTGCAAAAATATTGGTACTCCTTCAGTCTGCACTTTTTTAGTATGAGTACTTGAGCCACCTCTCTGCTGCGCAGGCTTTTCTGTGTGTGTGTGTGTGTGTGTGTGTGTGTGTGTGTGTTTGCCAGCGCTGTTGACTCGAGGCGTCTGGACCGTTGCGCTGGCCTTTGCGCAAAGGCGCCCGCACTCTCTCGTGTCGCTTCCAAGTTGTGGACCAGCAAAAAAATTTCACAGGCGTACGCGGAAGACAAAGCGGCCGCACTTCCAGCGGCCGCGTCCAACTTTGTCGCTCTCCACCCAAATGTGATGTCTTCATGTTTCGACTCACTCAACAAAAACAAAACTTCCTTGGCGGAGGTAACGGAACATTCCGCCGCCGCGAATGGAAGCGTTTCGGTCATTTTACGAGCGGCGCCGCCAGATTGTGGAAATCTGTCAGAGGCGGCGAGGCGATGCTCAGATAAGAAAACCTCCTGCTTGACCCGGGGGCGGGGTACAGAACCAGGGGGAACACACCAGTGTGTTTTACTTTTGCAACAACCCAGTTGAACTCCCCGCCAACCCATCAATCCTCCTTCGGAAGTTTTGTGATTCCGTCCACTTCGCACCCACGTGCACGACAGTCCACCGATGTCGCGGCTCGGCCCCGGATGCCAACTTAGCACTTGCTAGAACGAGCAACTTTCCTCCATAACGCCCTAATTTAGCCACTTTTAAACTTTGGGTACAAATTTTGCCCAATTTTACAAAAGCAAATATTTCAATTGTGGTTGTAAATGCAGGTCAGAGGTCAGTGCATCTGATGTTTAGGCCAGACAAGAAGTGACATCGAGCCACTTTTATAGGCCAATAGCTTGGCCTTGAGCGACGTTAGTTAGCAAGCGGCCGCCGCTCGCAAGACGACACCGCAGGTTTCCACACCGCAACAGGTGAAAGTGGCCCACGGAATGTTTTGGGAATAAATCAAGGCGAGAAGACGACGACGACAACGCGGCATCTGAATCCCAAATTCAGCGAGCTGCAGGCACATTCCGAGCACGTCTGTGTGGATTTGTTGACTCGTCACAATCACAAGTTCCATCAGCTTTTATTCCAGAATGTGCACACATGAAAAAGTGTGTGTGTGGGGGGGGGAAAGACAAAGACGACGACGTGCGCATACAAAACGTGAACAATCTGTGCTCCTCGGGAAAATAAATAACACAAGGAGTGGGTCCCCCCAAAAAAACAAAGCAACATCCAAAAGGAAGCGAAGCGTCAGCAGCGTGTGAGGGAACAAACAGGAAGTGAGGAGCAGGCCCGAGTAAAACGACGACAACGCAAACAAACGTCCTGAGATGACACCCGCATGCCAGTTGAAGCACAGCACGTCATGCCAAGCACAAGAGTTGCGTTAGAGTCAAAAAAACGAAAAAAAAAACCCTTTGTGGTGCCTAATGCGGCGTTGTGACTAGCGTTGCAAAATTCTCGGAAATTTCTACGCTGGAAACTTTCCATGGGAATGAACGAGAATCGACCAGGAATTCTCAAACTGGCCGCTTGGCTCTTCACATCCCTCCAAAGTGATTTCACAAATTTGTGTGAAGACCAAGTGTGGGCCCTACCCCTGCTACGGAAGAATTTGAGCGCCTTGGCTTGCATCAGTGATTATTCAAAAGTACGCCCTGAAAAGACAGCTTCTCATCGGTTAATCCTGTCTTGGCCGCTTTAGAGCGCCTTGTCGTTGGCAGTGAGTGCATGGCATTACACGCAAGGGAGTAGGAACTTTTTTAAAAAGTTTCACTTCACAGCTAGAGTGTGGACTGTGGATTGGCGCTGGCCTGGCTGCTTTAGAGCGCCTCGTTGTTGGTAATGAGTGCGCCAGCAACATGCAGAGAAAAGTGAGGAGGTGGTTTTATTTTTCAACCCCGACTTGATTGAATTGTTCTGCGCAGATGAAAAAAGATGAAGTTCACGCAGATGCACAAATCTCAGAGCCCTCCCGAAAAATTCTTTCCCAGTTCATTCCGATGTAAAACTTCCAAACTCAAGTATTTCCAAAACCCTCCAGCTTAAAGTAGCGATCGTCAGAAACTTCCAGTCACTTCAAGTAGACAGCAACCATTCCATCTTCACGCCACTGATCACAACGCTCACATTTTTTTTTTTTTTTTTTTTGGTGGACAATGTGCAAAGTTCCAGTTCTTGCTTGCATTGCTGATCATCTGTGTAACAGTCGTGGCCGGGAGAAGGTCCGAGGCTTGGCCAAGTTGAACCAGCAACTTTTGGTTTCTGCGATCCACGCAAAAAGTTCTGAGAGAGCGTTCGACACGCGAGCACGGGGAGCTAGACAGAGTGGCAAGGAGACCAAGGTCCCGGGGTAAAACCCGATGCTTCCTGTGTCCAGTTGCTATCGTCTCTATTTTTAAGATGCAATCTTGAAGAGGACGTGAAACTGGCCAAGATTTTGCTGGGAATGTCCTGGCTGCGTCCAGACGAAAGAAGCCCAAAAAAAAAAACACAAATAAAAAAGTTCACTTGCTATTCAATCAAGGCCATTGTGCAAGCTTGTGATACGAGATCTGGCCTGGGTCCCACGGATGGTTTCAAGGCCGAGAACAAAAGACCTGAAAGCGAAGTGGCGACGGGACCAAGCGGGCTTTCTCTTCCAACCAGCGCAAATTCGCATGCTCATCAATATCGAGTGAGAAATGGGAAGAGTGGTTACCTTAGACAGCAGCAGGTACCCCCATGAGGGATCGGGGTTGGGGGCTAAGCAGGGGGGTGGGAGGGTTTTTATTTCATAATTTTATCCCCCACGTGTTGTATTATTATTTAGCTTTTTTTGTTTTTTTTTGACTTTTGCATGGTGCTCAGTGGCTGGGCGTGCGGCGAAGAGTCGCCGACGGCTGCGCAAGCTCGGTGTGCAGCAGGCCTTCGTCAAGAGGCTCATTTTGGAACGATTCGAAACATGAACGTACCTTTTACGACTGGAGGCGACCGAGTCGTCTGATGTCAATGTTTCAGGCTTGCCATTGGCCAAAATGTGACAACTGTGATTTCATCCGGAGAGTTTTTGAAAACAGCCAAAGTACGTGTGGAAATGTGCGAGAGTTTTTTTGGGGGGGGGCGGGGCCTAGAGCGTGCTGCTGAGAATCGCCGACACTTGTGCGTTGGTTTGCTCGTCTGAGTCGACGTCCTGTCCGGCCGCCCCTTCCTGTTGCTGCCCACCGCTCTCCGACCGCGCCACCGCTCCCTCCGGCTCCTTGCCAGCGTCGGCGAAAATCCTCCGCACGTGGGGCCTGGGCTCGCGGGGGCGACCCTTGCGGCTCTCCAGGACGCAGTCGGTGCGGCTCACGTAGGTGGCGCCCTGCGGGGGGGGCGGCGGCTCCTTGGGCGGCGGGAGGTCCGGGTCGCACTGCTTGGTGTAGACGCCCTCGGATAAAGACCCCGTGTGGCTTTCCCCGCTGTGTCCCCTCAGCCAGCGCTGGGGCCCGCTGAAATACTGGCCCCGGTGGCTCCTGGAGAGCAGCTTGCGCTTGGATGGGGGGTTGGGGACGGGCCTCAGCTGGGGGGCGCCACCCTCCGGCTGGGTCCTTGAGAGCGAGAGGCCCTCCAGAGTCTCGGCGGTGCGGGACAGCGCCGGGCAGAGCGGCAAGGAGAGCGGGAGGTCGCCGACGAAGCGGGGGGACAGCGGGGTGGACGGCGACGCGGGGAGGGGCCGGGGGAGGGATGGGGAGCGAGGCAGGGCCGAGGGAAAGGCGGGGAAGTCTTTGGACGGCGGCGGTGACTGGGGGAAGAAGGGCGCCGCGCCATCTTGTGACTTGCCGTCCTCCGGGCTTGGCGACAGCGGGAGGTCCGTGACAGGGCGGGCGCTGTACCTGGACAACCAAAGACGACATTTGCAAAATCGTCACTCAAGTGAAGGTCGTGCGGGTTTTGACCACGTAAGGGGGCGGGGTGTAAACGGAAGTGCCAGTCACATTTGTTTTAACGAGTGAACCGGTTCCTAAATTGCTTTGACAATCCTTCTCAAGAATGTCATCCTTTACCATCCCCGAATGGTTTTGACCTTGGCAAACTTGGAATTCAATCCAGCGACATGACCTGAGCTCGTGGATCTGCAGCACGTCGGGGGCGCTCCCCCCCAGCGAGTGCATGGCCTGCTGGGACAGGTCCTGGGGGGGCGAGTAGAGCAGGTCCAGCTCACGGGGGCTCAGGGCGTCGCTGGAGTCGTAGTCGCTGTCGGTGGGCAGGAAGACCTCCGACGAAGCGTCCTCGTCCGAGCCCAGCAGCGAGTCTGAGGCACAGCGGAGTGAGTCAGCGCACATGAAACGCCTGCCGTGCTGCTACTGATGATGATGATGATGGTGCTCACCGCTGATGGCCTTCCTCCTGCACAATTCGGGCGAAGGCGAAGGCAGGTAGTCCATGGCGGAGGAGGTGGAGTCCGTTTTGTGCTGGCCGCCGTCGCTCTCCGGGGCGCCGGCGTCCACCAGGCAGGTGACGGGAACGCCGCCGCAGGGCTGCTTGTAGCGGGCGTACTGCAGCGCGTCCGTCAGCCAGCGCAGGTCCCGACGAGTCTCGTCCAGCTGCTGCAGCGCACGCCAAAACAGACGCAGTTCGAAAAATCGCAATGAAACGAAGCTGATGTAAGCCACAGCTCACGCTCAAAAGCTCACACGCCGATAAACGCCACTTCGATTCCTGACGTCCCTCGTTAGGCCGCGCCCCTTAAAGGCACACATCCAACATGTGACTACAACGGTGTTGACAGACTTGATGCAACGTTAGTTTTGTATTGTTTTTGAAATGATTTTTATAGCAAGCGGGATGGGTAAAATTCTCTCAATCGCACTCGGGGGGAAAAAAAAATCAAATATTGAAACAGTCAGCAAATTTTTGTCAGTTTAGTGCCAACGAAGTTGTGTGTGTAATTTGATGCTTTTTCGTCTCCCACTTCAAAAAAATCAAAAAGTCGCCGTCATTGTGATGACTGTGTCGAAACAATTATTGTCCGTGTTTCATTTTCGTCATGTGAGCGTGAGCCCGGGAGGGTTAGCGTGCGTGCAGACGGCGTGGGCCGCCCCGTCTGAGCGTCGCATATTTTCCTCCCGCAGCGTGTGGCGAGTCTAAACAAACCGTCCAATGAGACCGCATCACGTCATCTTCACACTGATCCACTTTCACACACGCGCGCACGCACAGCTGACACGCCACATGAATGAACGGTTTGTGTGTGCCAAAAACTCGCATCGTGAGTGATGACTTTTGTTTTTTTTTCTAATGTAATAGATTTTATCTTTGGGTGTCAGAATGACATCCTCGTAAGAATCGATGCGCTCGTCCGCCTGACAAACCTCAAAGCTCAATCGAAATTTAGCAGCCGGTGACGAGACGACGGCTTTGCGTGTTACAACTCCCATGTTGCTAAATTCAACAGGTTTTTATTTTTGTTTCGAAATTGGTGGTGAACATACACACACATACATACGTAAGAGAAACACACAACGTTATTATTCTGTATGATCCCCCCTCCCTCCTTGTGACATTCCCTCTACAGCCAATTTGTGGTTTGGGGGGGTGGGCAAGTTTTTTCCAGACTTAAAAATCACAGCGAGACAGATCAGGCACCACACACACACGCACGCACGCACACAAGCACACAGACGGCTGCCAAGGGAGCGCACACTTGTGGTTTAGCGGACGGTGCGCATTAATGGCGGCGGCGCTCGTTTTTTTTTTTTTTTTTGCGCTCTCTCGGGCTCGCGACAGCCGATTGAAGTACTTTTTTTTTCCCCAGACAAGGACATTAAGGGACATTTCCCTTCTTCGCTTGACACGTTCTAAAGCGCGACAAATTTATGATGAAAATGGCGATGGTGAAAACCTGGTGATGAATTTAGCAAGAAAGAAAGATGTCCATGATTTGTTTGAGAGGGACCACATGATCCTGATTTTGTCATGTTGGATTCTTAGCGGTATGTTTTGTTTTTTTATTTTTTATTTTTGGGGGGCGGGTGGCGGCAGTCACCTGGATGTAGTCGAGGATGAGCTGATGTCGGTGCTTGGCGCTGGCCACCTCGCTGTCCGTGATGGCCTCCCGCAGCGCCTGCTGGGTGATGAGGGCGTCCAGGTCCAACACGGACGACAGGCGGCAGTACAAACTGATAAATTTCTCCTTGTAGGTGCAGAAGTGCACTGAGGACACACAAACCGGCACCATGACATGACACATTCGCCGTCAAGTTTGGGCATTATTTTACATCGCACGCTCCGGTCGGAATAGCGAGTGGCACGCCTGCCGTGCAGTACCACTTCCTACCACAAGGTGCGAAGCAGTACCGAGCTGTACTTGAAGACGCGCCGAGTAATTAACAGCAGGATGAAGAAGCAGAACGAAGTTGTAGGATCATAAAAATCCCGTCGTCACGGTGACGGATTATTCGGTGAACGGTTTCCACCAAGGAGTGTCAAAAATGTGATTACCGAGCTCAAACATCTGCAGCGGCAGGTGCAGGAAGCCCGAGAGCGGCGTGTAGGGGTTGGACTGGCCGGGAGCCGAGCAGACGTCATCGGCGGCCGGCAGCAGCAGCAGGAAGCAGACGCCGTGACCCAGCTCCACCACTTCCTGGCTGTACAGGCGCAAGTGACGGGCCTGCCCGCAGGAGGTCCGCTTGTCAGGGAGCGAGTCCCTTCAATCTCGGCAAATTTACTTGATGATAAGCCGGCAGGGGCACCTGGTGCAGAGGTAGGTTGAGGTTCTTGAGCAGGGTCTTGATGGCCGTCTGGAGCTCGTAGTAGAGCAGCGGCGCGTGGCTTTCGGGCCTGGGCCGGGCCTCCTCGCCGCCGTCCTCGCCGTCCGGGTCCTTCTCGCCGGCGGCCGACAGCGTGCGGATCCAATCCCACTCCTCCCTGAAAAGACGAAACGAAGGCGTCCCAGTCAGACCAAATGACATCTGACGGGTCAAAAGGGCATCCTGGGCACGAGTAAATATTCAGGGAAACTTGATTTCTCCATCGCAGTGCGGTGAGCGAGTGGGTTCCAATTCCCTGAGCTGTCGATGTTGTCTGCACATTCTTTTGTTCCTCACTCCTTTCTTTCTTTCTTTCCTTTCTAAACTTCTGTCCTCGCGCGCTCGCTCGTTCGCATCCTGAAGGACAATGCGACAAAACAGTGGTAGGTTTCCGTCTCCAGGTGGCAAATGAACAGGCGGAGTGTTCCGGAACATCGCGTTCCGAAAAGTGACGAGGAGGAGAAGGTCGCGATGCCTCATCGGGGGGGTACGACAACATGATGATCACGGTGGACGGGATGCCGTGTGCCAAACGGTGACCTGCAGGCTGTTCGGACTCCAAATGACTCGCATGCACAAGACCAACACGAAGTCCTCCTTAGACCGGCGTCTCACAAGTCTGGCTATGTTCCCTTTGGGTGCCAGGTGGGCGAGCTAAGCCTCCCCCAAAAGAGAAAGAGTGACCCCCGTCCTTCCCGCCGCCTACCTGGACACGTTGGCGTTTTCTCGCACGCGGGCGTGACACAGCATGTTGGGGTTCCTCTGGGATACCAGGACCCGGATCTGGTCCACGGAGCTGCTAAGCTTCAGGTAGCCTAGGTAGAGGCCCGGCGCCAACCGCTGGCTGCTGCGGCGCTGGTACGCCACGATGTCCTGCACCGGGGCACAACAAGGAAAAAAAATGGCCTTCTTTCAAGAATCAAAAAAAATGTTACGAGTACCTGTATTCGTTTTAGCGATCGGGATTGAGGCGAGGTAAATATTTGGCGGGCACCTGCAGCGTGATGATGAGGACGTCGAGGGCGTACGGCTCCTCGGGCGTGGACAGGGACTTGCGCTGACTCTGCACTTTGGCCACCTGCATCCACTTGCCACTGAGGAGCGCGTGCTGTCCGTCGGCGTCGCGCACCGTCACCAGCAGCACGTTGCCGTGGCGATCCTTGATCGGCTCGTAGTGGGCGCGGCCCAGGTTGTGCGTGCCGAGCAAGTTCTGCAGCTGCCCGGCGGCGCTCAGCATCTTGTGGCGCGCCTGCAGCGTGGACGACGACGACGTGGACACCGACGTGCTCTGGCGGAGCCACCGCACGTCCTCCCACATGCACGACAGCTGCGCCACAAGCACACCTTCGGTCAAACTACGTCGACAGATGCTGTGGCAAAGCGCCGCTTTGCTCGACAGGAAACTCCTCAACTCGCTTCAACATAGTTGCTTGACATCGGGATGGCGGCAAGTCATGCATTTGATTCATTTGGTGGCGGGAGGCCGACCTTAGTGAACCAGAGGAAGTCCTGCATGAGGGAGCTGCTGTAGGAGTCGTCCACTTCCACAATGGGGATCTGGTCCTCGGCCGTCACCAGCAATTTGTCCTTGTGGTAGAAGACGGCCGCCAAGTAGATGCCCCTGAGGCAAACGGCAAGAAAGAGGAAACCTCACAAATGCTTTCATGCGTCCTTCCACGTCGGGCTTGAACCTCGTAAGACTTTTTAATAGTCGACGACCAATGTAGCAAAAGTCGGAGTGAAGTTGATTAATCGGTGACATCACTGATAGTTTTTGAGCCCAGTACAGCAGTCCCCTTACATGTATTAGATATCGGTAGAGTATCGGTAGACTCAACATGAATGACGTGTCATGTACCAATAAAGGACGAAACATATATCAGCAATTTTTGATGTAATATCATGAGACAAAAAAAAGTTATTTTGTGTATAACGGTGATATGAAATGTTCAAATCGCGCCGCTTTGCAACGAATGAGGTGTGTTCAGAATATTTGGGTGACCTCATTTGCGACGCCATCGGGTCAAACGAGAGCCGAAACAAACCTTTTCAGTGTCTTCACAAACTTGTTGGAGGAGTTGAAAAGATGTTTGAGGCTTCTGGAGACGGACTGCTTCCTGCTCGTGTTGTGCAGCTTGGAAGCATCTGCGCCAAAAAAAAAAAAAAAAGACAAACGGAAAACATCCCAGCTGATTTCTTTATAGAGTTTGCGTGCATTTTCACGAGGTCGTCGCGGCAGGGTCACTCTCCCATGATGGCCCGTCTGACGGGACGTGAGCTTATCGGGGTCGGGCAGTCTCTATCTTTTCTCCTTCCTCGATCGCCCGTCGCGGCCCGCGGCCGCTCAGCGATGCCAATCTCCAAAACCACAGCAGACCTTTTGAGCCGGGCTAATTAAGCGTCACATAATTAGCGTCCTGTAAACGGACATCAGATGTCTGATGCTCACAAGCCAAGCGCGGACAGATGGCGGTTCGCAATATGGTGGACCTTATCACTGAGCAACTTTAAAAAAAAAAAAAAGTCTTTCAAGTTCTGAAAGGTACGAAGATAACTAACATATTGACTGCAACGGCTTTTGGAAGCCAGCGAAAATAGGATCAAGCGTCAATGTTATATCAGGCGACATATGCGAAACATAGGATGGATCAATGACTGATCCCTGAGGAACACCACATTTAAACGTAGATGTTTCATGGAGGAGGATCAGGTGTGGAACAAGCAGTTAACAGCTTCAAATTGTATTTCTTTGTCCCGCCCATCACTTCCAAACTTCTTGATTTGGGAACGTCGTTTCGAAACATTCACGCGACATTTAGTCAGAGCACACCAGATATGCCGCCGTTCGACTACAACACAAAATGACAACACTCGCAAGGAGCTTGAATAACGGAGGGGCAGACAGGCTTCCTTTTTCTTTTTTGACTGAGGGATGGAAGCCGCCACCCACTCACGAGCAGACCTCCCGACCTGACGACCAACAAGCGGCAACCAGACCAAGAACAAAGTGCAGCGGTTGTCAACGACATAAACAACTTCGCGCCGCCCCTCTCATTAATCAAGCGCAATGATGTTTTTCTGGCGTCGCTCTCCAACGCAAACTCATTTCTTTATTTAGTCCGAGTGAGTGCACAGGAGGGCCCCCGTGCACTCCTGTCACATTATCCACTTGTCAAAGCCGCTCACTGCTCGAGAGAGACTTTTTAAAGGCTCCCTTTTGGGCTGACATAGCAACCTACGTTAATGTCTGTGTGTGTGTGTGTGTGTGTGTGTGTGTGTGTGTACGTGCGCGCGCTTTAGCGGCCGAAGCCTCGGGCGTCCCGCCAGGTCGTCTGTTGAAAATGTTTCATGTAAGTGTGAACTGCTGCGCCTGACAGACTGAGTCAATATGTGTAAACTCACCGTATAACTGTCTGACTCAATGACTGGATATAACCAGTAAACCTGCATCGTGGCAATCCAAAAGACTTCCATTTCAACAGCAGCCTCTTGTGAGTGTGTTCATTTTGCATTGTCCGTTTGCCAAAAAAAAAAAAAAAAAAATCAAAGGGCATCGGCAACTGCGCATCTCCTTGCCCACATGCCAGGGCATCACTGGACCCGAACCGCTTCATTTACTTTTTTTCATTGCACAAAAAAGGACCAAATGGTGGGTGGTGACTGGAAAAACTCAAAACTAAAGTTGAGTTTGCACCGTATGAAGAACGAAGTCGTGGGGTGTCACTCACCTCCGCAGCAATAGTGCGAATGCGTGGCTCGGACTTGCTGGAGCAGACGCTCCATAACCTCCACGTGGCTGCGCCTCCTTGGCTCCCGCCCGTCGCTCTCTCGCCAGTCTGACGTCAAATGGAAAGGGGGAAAAAAAAGAAAGGATCCATTTGAAAAGATGTAAAATGTGAGCTATAAAGCTCATTTTCATTGACAATGTCATTTTCAAAACTCTTGCACTGCGTACCTGTGGGGAAAAATTTGGTGTACCCACTGGAAATGGATTTTGTTTCCCTCATGGGATGGATAAAGGAACCAACTAGCTACAACGGCTTAACTACCTGCAGTGCATTTTCGACCTAACATACCCACCCCCTCTGTATGTACACTCCACTCCCTTGCATACTGCGCGTTGAGCGAAGCGACATTGTAGATGGCATTTCGAGTGGAAAATTCAACGGCTTACTGAAGAAAAGAATCAGCTCATTAAATCAGTTCAATTTAGTGGCTTGACTGTGTGTGTGCGTGTGTGCGCGCGCACGCGCATTTAGTGACAATCCCTGAGGTGGATGTGCTGGCACGGCGGCTCACAGTCCTCTTTACATCTGTTCCACTTGGACATTAGAGGAGTGCAAAAACAGACGCCCACACACTTTGGTCCCTCTCTGCTGCTACTGGCACACACACGCAGGCACTCGCAGCATCAATGCACATTGACACACATATACACATTCAGTGTGTATATACACACACACACACACACACACACACACACACACACACACACACACACAACGTGCAGATAGCAAAGTATGTTTCCTGTTTTGGAAGCCGTAGCGCAGGGGAGGATGGAGGCTCAACGTACTGGAAGGAGCGGCAGACGGCGGCAAGGAGCACGCGGGCGGACCCCAGCCCTTCATGTTGTAGGCCGACACTCGCACAAAGTACAGGCGACCCTGCGGCACAACACCAAATGTTCAGTGGCGATCCACAGGATGCGGATGGTTTTAGAGGCGCAGGAGGGGCGGGGGCGAGGAGCAGAGGCGGGACTAAGTCACCGTGTGCAAGTCACAACTAAGTCGCACAAAGTCAAATTCGGTCTTTCGGACATTTTGGACAGCTGAGTTCCAAGTGCTAAAACGTCATGTGACTCGAGTCCCCCGCGTCTTGAGTGAGGAGGATTTTGGTGGGTGAAGAAGATGCTTGATGCGGCCGTTACCGTGCTGAGGCTGCTGATGGTGCATTTTAGACTCTGGAGGTTCTCCAGCAGCATCTCTCCGGCCAGGAGCGAGAAATCCTTCAAGCAACTCCATTCCACTGCACGCACACACACACAGAGACACAAGTAATTGCCTAATTTGCCCTTTGATTCGAAATCAATAGTTCCCGTGATGATGATGATGCGGTCATTAACCTTGTGATTGCTCTGCTCCGGGCTAACAAAATGCCACTAACAGACCACGTAGACGCGCACACACGCGGCCCGGCGCGGTCAACACTTGTTTTTGAAACCCGAGGCGGCGGCTAGCAAAGACCCATAACGATATTTATGATGACCGCCACCCCCTCCCCCCTGCGAACCTTTGTACTTGGTGACGACGGTGGAGTGGAGGCCTTGCGGCTCCTGGAAGGTGACGGTCAGCGTGGAGCTGCTGCTCACGCTCAGACGGACCAACGTGGGGGCCTCGGGGGGGGCTGCGGAAAAACACCGACAAGTTTCAGCAACTTTAAACAGTGCTACACATTGTAGCGCATTTTGTGCGCAAGTTTGGCCAATCGCATGGCCACAAAGTAGCATTTGATGCGCACGCGGTAGCTACGGCTCTGGAATAAAGTAAGATTCCGCTGAGAAATTTGCCATTTGCTCCCATTTTGTTATTTGATGTGTGTATAAAGGCATTTATATTTGCGGAAAATGAAAAATGTCAAAATACCAGAAGAGTCGAATGGCTTTTTGGGCTCTTCAGTATTTTGTGGCTACAAATGATCATTTTAGGTGTAAATCCAAAGGGCCTCTTAATTTTGTCCAGTTGATATCGTGGCCACAAAGTGTTTTTTTTTTGTGGGGGTTGGGGGTGTCAATGTTTTCCAGAGCCGTATATGGCGGCCACAATTTAGTGTTGTGTGGCCACAATGTAGCTTTTTGTGCGCATGTTTTATCGACACTGGAGCCACACTGAGATGAGGACGTTGTGGATGCGAGCAAAGAGCGCGGCGGTCTCACGTGCGTGCTGGAATGCGCTCGTCATGTGCTTGTAGAGCTTGCACCTCCACTCCCAGGCTCTCAGCTGCTTGTCCTTGTGGCACGCCTCCAGCGACAGGCCGTCTCGCTGCGCCCGCGCCGACAGGTCGGCGGCGCGCTGCTCCGCCTCGGCCACCAGAGCCGCCAGGTGGGCCTCGCGACTCTCCGCGCTCACGACTGCGAGCGCCGCGCCCGACAGACACACGGACAACAGGGGACGTTAGCTAGCACTGCGCTTTCTCAAATCGGGGTCCCTCGGTCTCTGAGCAATAGCCGAGAGGTCGGCAATTTCTTTTTAAACGGCGCAGTCATTTGTCACTCACTCAACCACGCACACGTGCGCGGCGGTACTCACAGTGCGGCCCCTCCCTCCCGCCGGCCTTGAGGAGCAACTTGGCGATGGGCACGTTGTTGGTCATGACGGCGACGTCGAGCGGCGTCAGCCCCTGGCTGTTGGGTGTGTTCAGGTCCAGCTCGTCTGCCGTCAGCTGGCACAGGAGCATCTGGACCATGTCCAGGTCCTGCTGCTCCACCGCTTCCAACAGGCACTCGCCGCCCTGCATCGTCTGGACACATCAGTCAAGCTCACCCACTGCATGGCTTTTTACACGCCGGTCATGACATCGGCTGCGCCATCTTTTCCTCACGATTGCAAGCCCAGGTTCACCGCCTAATCTTTGTCTTCTACCCAAAACCTGTGCTGATCTCAAATATAAAGCCACTGTATTGCGCCACTCACAGATTCCCCGGCCCCCGCTCGCTCCCCCCGCCCCACTGGTGCGTACGTGTCATCATGCGTCGGCTTGATGACACATACGATGTCCGAGAGGCTGAGAAAATGTTTGACAAGGCCACAGCACACACGCCATCATGGTGCCACAGAGAGAAAGATGAGGAGGAGGAAGGGTGACACTTCCTGTGATTCTCTCCGTCACCCCCCCAAAAGTAAATCTGTTACATTCATTTATCCATTTTGATCCTGAAATTGGCTTCTGAAATGTACAGTATTTATTCATTTGGTAAAAATATGTCATTATTGAATGCCTGATTTTTAGTGAACAAGCCAAATCATTCCTTGATTGATTGACAATGATAAAATTAACAACAGTCAAATATATTCTGGCAAAAGGTTTGTTTTGTTTTGGGGTTTTTTGTTCAATGAAGTTGGCACTTATGACATAAGCCCGTCGATGAACAAAACAGCTGGAGGCGCCTGATTGGAGATTGAATCAAGGACGCGACCAATGAGGGAACAGCGAGATCAGGCAGAGGCGACATATCCAATTAGCCGGGCGACAAAGCACATCTTTATTGATCCCGCCGTGACAGGCTGTGACGCAACATATGTTTTCCTGCCACGAAGACAAGCCTCAAACAACGGACTGACCTTCCTTCTGTTCCGGATGCACGGCAACGGCCAAAGCAAAACATTTGAAATGAACCCCGATAGCCCATCTGTGCTCATAATTGACCGAGATGAAAACAAAGGACCCGGTTCGGCTCACCGAGGCCTTGCGAAGGCGATCGCTCTTCCCGAAGAAGTGTGCGTCTTCGAAGGACGACGTGCTTCCTCGCAGCTTCTCCGACAGGTTGCGATAGAGGCGCTTGGCGGCATTGGGGGAGGCCGGCCCTCCCGCGACCTTCTTGGCTTGAGACAACTGCAAGTTCTGCATCTGCTGGGTCAGAACAGCCGGGAGGCGTCTGAGGGGAGCCAGATGAAGCGCACAAAGTCACCTCGAAGGCAATTCCTTCGCTGCTATGGACCTTGCCATTCATTGGTCAACCGCGAGCCACTGTTTACTGCCATTGACGTGTATCGTCGTCAAGTATGTTTTTCGACAGGCGGCCTTGGAAGAAGGTCACACGAAGCTCAACAAAGGATCAATTTTGCCACCAAAAGTCCTTTCTCAGCCTTATTTTATAGTTTGAGGTGTCACAAAATTGTAATGTTGGCATCACAGTCACTTTTCTGCGAGACAGAGTATTTTTTTCACAAAAGCTCATTTTCACCAAAACTGGTGTTTTTGGTCGTGTATGACGGCTGATTGCTAAATTATTTATTTTTTTTCTCCTCCTGGTGAAAGCTTGAGTCACTTCGTTTTACTTTGGTTTGTTAGTTTTTAAATTCTATTCAAAAATGCTTCCTTTGAATTTAGTTTTTGTTCAACAAAATATGTGATTACATTTTTTTTTAAATGCGGTTAGTTGGTTGGTTTTCATGCTTGGTTGTGACTTGTTGACCTCCAAGTGCGAGCCGTTTGTACAAGTACAGACAGGAAATGAGTTTCTTGCTCTCGCTTCTTGCTCTCTGCAGCACTTCGTGACCTGCTGTCAATCAACAGCTGGGTTAATTCTTCGCCGCGCGCTCGGCGTGAAGGACGCCATGTTCTGGGAGACGCTTCCGTTCGCTCGCTCTCGAGTCCGACGGCTTGCGGTTCAAACACTCTTGAGGAGCCCTCAAACGTGGAAAACAAAAAAAAGAAAAAAACACCTGCGCGGCCTCGTCATTAGCGGTGCCAAATGAAAATTGGCGGTTTGCAGCTGATTGTGCCAGCGGAATTTTCGTCGCGACCACAAACTGAAGCTGATTGGCGTAAAACGGCGGCCTGGCGGTGGTAATAACCCCACATTAGCGTCAACATTTCTCCAATTGAATAGGAGCGGCGTGTTTAAATTGGCAAAATGGTTCCGATGATTTCGTCTGCGCGCAGCGACGACCTGATTTAGATTGTTTCACAATTAAAAGAATCTTACATTAAAGCCGATGAGGAGGGCCAAGCCAAATTTTGATGTGCACTTGAGACAAAACAATCTTGGCAATTGAGCATATGGCCCATCTGTTTGGCAAACTTGCTTCCGATTGGGCCCGCCCGCAGGAGTTCTGTTTAAAAAAAAAAAAAAAAAAAAAAAA